GTAAACATTTCGGCAATTATTATTTCCGGGCGAAAAAAGTCTAAAAATTTAAAAAATAAAGGCTAATATCTATGTTTTTTGAGAAATTTTGGAGGTTTCGGGGCCCGGTATCCAAAAGCCTAGAGATTTTAGGGAATACATCTTAGGGTCATATAATGTCGTTTGGAACCATATATGATCATTATTTGTTGTCATAAATGTTTGTGGTAGGCTTGAGTTAATGAAATCTGTGCAAGTTGTAAATTGGTTGTTTAAAGGGAAATTGGATGGTTCCACCAACCCAATTGGAATCCCGGATGATATTAGGGACCATGGTAAACATTTCGGCAATTTTTATTTTCGGGCGAAAAATAGTCTAAAAATTCCAAAATTGAAGACTAATATGAGTAATATCCATGTTTTTTTTGAGAAATTTTGGAGATTTCGGGGCCCGGTGTCGAATAGTCTTGAAATTTTAGGGGAGATATCTCGGGGTCATATAATGCTGTTTGGAACCATATTTGGTCATTATATGTTCTCATAAGTGTTCGTGGTAGGCTTGAGTTAATTAAATCAGTGCAAGTTGTAAACTGGTAAATTGATCATTTAAAGGTAAATGGGATGATTCCACCCACCCAATGGGACTCCCGGATGGTATTAGGGATCATGGTATACATTTCGGCAATTTTTATTTCCGGGCGAATAAAAGTCAAAAATTACAAAATAGAAGACTAATATCCATGCTTTTTGAGAAATTTTTGACGATTCGGGGCCTGGTGTCGAAAGTCTTGAAATTATAGGGGATACATCTCGAAGTCATATATTGCCGTTTGGAGCCATTTATGATCATTATATGTTGTCATAAATGTTCGTGGTAGGCTTGATTTAATGAAATCGGTGCAAGTTGTAAATCTGTAAATTGGTCGTTTAAAGGCAAATTTAATAGTTCAACCTTCCCAATTGACTACCGGAGGGTATTGGGGATCATGGTTAAAATTTAGGCAATTTTTTATTTCCGGGCAAAAAAAAGTCAAAAAATTCCAAAATTAAAGGCTTATATCCACGCTTTTTAAAATTTTTTGGACGTTTCGAGGCACGGTGTCGAAAAGCGATGATATTTTAGGGAATACATCTCGGCATCATATAATGACGTTTGGTACCATATATGATAATTTTATGTTGTCATAAATGTTCGTGGTAGGCTTTATTTAATGAAATCGTGGCAAGTTATAAACCGGTAAACAGGCCGTTTAAAGGCAAACTGGATGGTTGCACCCATTCAATTGGATTCCCGAAGGGTATTAGGGATCATGGTAAACATTTCGACAATTATTATTTCCGGGCGAAAAAAGTCCAAAAATTCCAAAAATAAAGGCTAATATCTATGTTTTTTGAGAAATTTTGGAGGTTTCGGGGCCCGGTATCCAAAAGCTTAGAGATTGTAGGGAATACATCTTAGGGTCATATAATGTCATTTGAAACCATATATGATCATTATTTGTTGTCATAAATGTTCGTGGTATGCTTAAGTTAATGAAATCTGTGGAAGTTGTAAACCGGTAAATTGGTCGTTTAAAGGGAAATTGGATGGTTCCACCAACTCAATTGGACTCCCGGAGAATATTAGGGACCATGGCAAACATTTCGACAATGTTTATTTTCGGACGAAAAAAGTCTAAAAATTCCAAAATTGAAGGTTAATGTCCACGCTTTTTGAGAAATTTTGGAGGTTTCGGAGTCTGGTGTCGAAAAGTCTTGAGATTTTGGGGAATACATATGGGGTCATATAATGTCGTTTGGAACCATATATGATCATTATATGTTGTCATAGATCTTCATGGTAAGCTTGAGTTAATGAAATCGGTGCAAGTTGTAAACCGGTAAATTGGTCGTTTAAAGGTAAATTGGATGGTTCCACCGACCCAATTGGACTCCCGGACGGTATTAGGGATCATGGTAAACATTTCGGCAGTTTTTATTTGCGGGTGAAAAAAAGTCAAAAAATTCCAAAATTGAAGAATAATATCCATGCTTTTTGAGAAATTTTGGAGGTTTCAAGTAAAGCTGTCAATTCGGTTAAACGGGCCGGGTTTGGGTCGGTAAGAGTGGGTCTGGTCAATTTGGATTAATACCATAACCTATGCGGGTCAGATTTGGGTTGGGTCATGCTTTAGTCGGGTCACGTCAGGTTATACTTCTTATCGGGTTTGGGTCGGGTTAATAACAGGTCGGGTTACATTCGAGTAGGGTGAACAATAAGTCGGGTTTAATTCGGGTTTTCACAGGTTAAAACGGGTTAGGTTAATTCTCGGGTTCGAGTCGGGTTTGGTTCAAGTCAATAATATGCGGGTTATAAATCAGGTTGGGTCATTCTCGGATTTGAGTCGGGTTCGGTTCAAGTCAATAATTTGAGGGTTATAATTAGGTCGGGTCATTTCAAGACGGGTCATTCTCGGGTTCAAGTTGGGTTCGCTTCAAGTCAATAATTTGCGGGTTATAATCAGGTTGAGTTATTTTTATAAGTCGGGTTATTCTCAAATTCAAGTCGGGTTATGTTCAAGTCAATAATTTGCAGGTTACAATCAGGTCGGGTTATTTCCAAAGTGAGGTCATGTTTGGGTTCAACTAACTATAAATAGATAATTATTATTTTTATCAAGTTAATTATTTCCTTTGACTATAATATATATGGCAATATACTAGGGAATTATAGTCTATAATTTAGAAAGATAATTATCTTCTTTGACCATACAACAAATGTATACTATATTTAACTCTTAAATTTGAGGATGATTCTCCTTTCTTTTGCCTTGGTCTCCTTGGAAAAAATGCTTTGATCAATAATAATAAGGTGGTCTAAATTGCATATAAGGTGATTTGAAATCGGGTCAGGAACAATTTGGGTTTATTTTAGGTCGGGTCAATAACAAGTCGTGTTGATTTCGAGTCGAGTTAGTAATAGATGGGGTTGAATTTTTGGGTCTGGTTAGTAACAGGGTCTGGTAAAATTCGGGTCGGGTCAATAACAAGTCGGGTTGAATTTGGGTTAGGTCAATAACAAGTCGGGTTGATTTCAGGTCGGTTTTGTAACAGGTTGGGTTAAATTCGGGTCGGGTTAGGAACGGGTCGGGTTAAATTCAAGTCAGGCTAGTAACAAGTCGGTTTAAATTCGGGTTTTGACGGGTTAAAACGGGTTTGGGTCAATTTCAGTTCAAGTCGGGTTAGGTTTAGGTCAATAATTTATGGGTTACATTCGGTTCGTGTCATCTCCAGGTGAGTTCATATTCGGGTCTCACATACTCGGGTCAACTCGGGTCTAGGGTTGGTTTCCGGTCAGGTCAGATCAGGTTTGGGTCACCATTTTTTCGGGTTCAGATGGATCGGTTAATAATCGGGTTTGAGTTGATATTTCGGGTCGGGTCAACTTTTGACGGCTCTAACCATAACCCTCCTTTATCTAGGCTTGGGACTGGCAGCGGGAAACCCACTGGCTGTCACTGTAAATAATACAGATTTAAAAGTCTGATTGATTGTAAGAACACTGAGATAGTATTCCTCATTTCTGTTGATTGATGTAATATAATGTTCTCTCTTGGAGCTTCTATTTAGCTGCAGTTCTCCAAAATTCAAAGTTTCTCAGGTGGCAATATGTTAACCTGGCTTTTTTTTTTTTTTTTTTTTTTTTTTTTTTTTTTTTTTTTTTTTCTTGCAAGACCTTGTTTTACCAACTTAGAAAATCAGAATTTGCCTGCACAATGAATTGCTTCTGGACTGTCTGATGTCCATAATTCGCTCGATGTCTGGGGCTATTGAGGTTCTAGAAAGAAACAAAAAGGCCATGAAAATGTTTGAACTGATATTAAGTAACTGGAGAGGAGACCAACTAAGAGCCTAGAGGGTTCAAATAGCCTGAAGTGTCTTTAGTTCATGGTCACTTTCTCGAGCAGAGTCACTTTTGTTGCCAAATTGATAATATCAAAGCCTGTGTGATTCAACTAGAATTTGAGTGGTGTTAGATAAAGTAAAGGAATGTATTCTATCCTCTTATTAAAGCTGTTTGGTTATTTTTCTCTAATAATTGATTCCTCAAGCTCTGTTCTTTACTCCGCTGCCTTTGCATGACTCTGCTTCACATCCTTTTGCATGTCACCAACCATCATCCTCTCATCTGCTTAAAGTCATACTATCTCTAATAAAGATAATTACTGCTCCTTTCTCCTTGATATTATAATTGATGTAATGTCAACCATGGTTGCTGGGTCTGGGTGTGGGGAATTCATCAACTCTAAGGCCAGATGTGGGCCATATGGTCTTTTAGTGGTGATGGACTCAACCCTTGATCAACTTGCTTGGTGTTGTCGGTATTGTCTATGATTCGTTGCAATTTGGTGTGATATTGTGTTCTCTCTTTTCCCTTTCCTCCCGAGGATTTAATCTTTTGTCTCATACTGATTTTCATTCATAATATTCTTGTGTGATAATCTAATTAAAGATTTCATGCTATTTTTTTTATGTTGTTTTCTGAGGTGTAATCTAGAAATTGTGTAAATTGGCTGTGTTGGTCACATGAGAGAGGGGGAGTGATGCTATGGGGGGAGTGGCTTTTGTGACCTGGGTTTGGAATGCATCATGCAATGGAGACATTGTGTTTTAAACCTTGACAACAGAGTCTAAAATTGAAAGTTTGAACAGGCACTGAATAATAAAGTTTATCACTTGCACCAAAAAAAATAATAATAAAGTTTATCATTCCATTTCCAAACTTAATAATCATCCATCAAACAGCTTTTCAGAGTATTTGTAATTGATTTCAGAATATTTAGTGCAGTAATGTGCATGGTGCGATTCAATAATGCCAAAAGTTTTTATGAATTACAATGGCCGGAAGAATTTTATACCGGATGCCATTTTCTTAGGCCTCAGCCAGTTGAATGACAAATGCATCAGTTTATAGATAAGCGGTCTTATTTAATTCGTATTCATAGATGCACAAAATGACCTTGTTTTCTTCTTTGATGCAGCAACCTCTTTTGAAAAAAACCAATAGAGAAGATCAATTTGCTTTTAGCTGCATTGGGACAAAGGGGTAGCAAATTCCCTGATGTCTTTGAAGATCTGCATGCAAATGCTTACCAAAGATTTTTGGTTGTGTGAGGAGGGAGGTTTGCAGTTTGGCATATGCGGAAAATAACTTCTGGGTCGAGAAAGGCAGTGTTCCCACTGACTGGATATCTTTCAGCAATGTCAAGCGAGTGACCTTGTATGTTGTATCATAGGCATGCCTGGTGATTTATTTCGGAAATGGTGACATATATGGAAGATTCAGTGTGCTCAGGTTAAGGGTAAATTTTCCGTGATCAAATTTATACTGTAAACATGTAATAGATCTCCCAGACATGCTCAAGAACATGGACACTGGACAGCAGCAGTAGCATGGACAGCTGAATCTAGAGAACTTAATCATTTAAGAGAAGTGGAGAGAATCCATGCAAGCACTTCCAATCAAGCTGAAGGGATGGCTATGCTCAAAGCAATCAAGGGAATTCCGGAGAACTTTGGTAATATAATTATAAATACGGATTCTCAGCAGGTTATTCAAGCTCTGCAGGACCGCAGTAAGGCGGAGGAGGAGCAGAAGCATCTCATCAAAGATATCAGAGAGGCTGCCAGCAAAAGAGATTTCGTTGTTTGTATAAAAGTGGATAGACAATCAGTCCAAGAGGCTCATAATCTAGCTGTGGAATGCAGAAGATATGGGTAATTCGAGAGGACTACTGTCTATCTTTGTAACCACTGCCTAAAAAAAAAAAAAAAAACTGCTTGACACAATGACACTGGTGCAGAAACTGCGGACTACTGTCTATCTTTGTAACAGTATACTATAACATTCTCAATCTGTAACTTTCCAAATTGTGCATTGAAAATCTTCTTGTATGCCTATATTATGATGTTGCCTGGAAATTATTTTGACATTTATCTCATTTCAGTGGAATTGACTGCTCTTTAACCTTATAACTAAAATTACAGCCACACCCCAGCACAGCGCTGGAAGCTGCAAAATGTTTTGTGAACAACTTGAAAAATCAACTAGAAACCAAACACAAACACAAACACGACCCATTCATACAATCGTCAACTCTTGAGACGTACATGCCTGCAGTCTCAGCAGAATTCTTTTTTGGACTGATATTGTTGTAGTTAGCATATCCAAGACTTAAACTCTGCAAGTTTATGAGAAGTTACTGACATTGCAAGCCTGTCAATCTGTCATATCTTCCTATGATACATAATACATCTAACATAATGTTCTTGTACTTGATTATTATTGTGTGATTTAAATTTCCTTCACATTGTGACAAACAAATTAATTGCTATGTAACGAAAAACAAATCATGTTTTCTGCTCTTTTTATATATGAACTTCCTGAAGAACATGACCCACATGTATCATTACTAGTAAAATTCACATGCAATTGACAACTTTCCTTGTATCATTCGAGCAATTTCTGTTTCAAATGCATGGAAGTTGCAAAATATTAAGTAGAAAAGTTGGAAAAAAACAGCTTATTTATTTCATATTATTTGTACAATATTAACAAATACATATTTTAGAAAAAGTAATGTAATATGCTAATTAATCAATAAATTATGTTTATATATTAAAAATTCGAAGTGCTTGTTTTGAAATGAAGAATGTATTACGAATTTTCTAAGATGGGTATGATAAATCAATCAATTTGTTAATGCTTTAATTTTACCTAACATACTACGGAGTACTATATAATATGTGTGCATAACCTTATAACATACGTACCTTGGTTTAAAATGCCTACTGTTTTATCATTAATAAAACAAAAACATGTGTTTTCAAATTAAAATCTGTAAAAAATACTTGAAATGATTTGCTTTCTTTTGCAAAATAATATGAAGTCAATCTCACAGCTGACAAATTAGATTAATTAAAAAAAACAAAAATTGTCCACAATTAAAGCTACAAGATTCAAAGTCCATATATAACAAACAAAGTACTACCTCCGTAAACGGTTATCTGCAACATTTACCAAAAGTAGGTGCTTCATATTATGTGCAACAAACTGATATTTTTCCATTTTTGGTTAAATTTTAACATCTGAAATTACGAAAATGCCCTTTAAAAACACTGATTAAAACTTAACCTACTTTCCTAATCTTATTACTTATCCCTATAAACAATCAATCTACCCTAATGATTCCCACCAAAATCCCCTCACTCACCTCATTTCCCATCATATTCAATTCATCTCCCCACCTACCCTCTTCAATGAAGCTTCAACAACCTCCATTAATGACGCTCTCTAACTTCTGGAAAATGTTCTGGAAGGCTTCACTTTGCATCTGGTGTCGTTTCGTTCAAGCGACCCTCATTCTCTCTCTTATCCTGATTCCCTCTTTCCCTCCGTTGGTTGAAACCCTAAAATTTCTAGATCTTTGTGCTCATCTACATCTGTCTGTCAAAACCCTAAAATCATGAGTCCCCCAAACAACAGAAAACAAGATCAGGATGTTATTGCAACCTACAAATGTCAACGACGAACTGGGAAGATGAGGCTAATTGGTACGCGTACGGCTATGTACCTGGATATGAAGCGTAACAATCGTGGGGGTTCAAAGCTAACCCCATACGAGTCTGATGATGAACGTGTTGGGTCTAATGCTTCAGATCTGGGCAAAAAGGGTGAGGTTTTGAGCAAAGAGGCTCCTGATCTTGATGTTGTGAAGGGCGATGGTTCTAAAACCCCTTCTGCTGCCCTGCCGCTGGAGAAAACCACATCAGAAGTGGTTGTTGTGGGTAGATCTACCCAGATCTTGTCTGGCCGAAAAAGGGAGCGTGCAGAGTCCCCTGATGATGGTGCTGCTAAGATGAGTGGGGTTAGCAACCCTTCCACCTAAGCCTGTGCATAATTCAACAGCGTAACAATGTTCTATCCCTTCAATCAATTTTTTTTTTGTTTTTTTGTTTTACCCTGGTTTGTGTTATGTTGTTTTACCCTAGTTTGTTGTGAACTTGAATGCTATGGTTGTTGGGATATGGTTGTTGGCTGTTTCTGGGGACATGTTGATTAACCCTGATTTCTGCTATGTGTGTGTTGGTGTTGTTGATTTATGGGTAATGGTGTTGATCATGCCAATGAGTATAATTTATGTGTTCTGCCAAATTGTGTGTCCCCTGGTTTGTGTGTACATTGGTTTCTGTTATGATGGGCATGGTGTTGTTGCTATGTGGGTGATGATTCTTCTGTTGAGTCCCACTTTGAGTCCCCCTGTGAGCTGCCTGTGCCCATATGTATTTGGAGTCCCAAGATATTGTTTGTGTGTTTGAGAGATCTAAATGATGAAGGGACTCATTTGATGCATAAAATTCATAAGTTGGTATTGCTCCAACAACTTCCATTGTAAGTTGTTGTTGAGGTAACCACTGTGCAATTTCTGTGAAATATCATAACACCTTCTGATAGACTCAGTTGTGTGTGTGTGCATCATAGAATTGAAGTAAACAAGACACAAATGAAGTATAAAATTTATCAAAAGCTTTTACATCTTAAAAGGATAGTAGTCTTGATTGCCCTACATTCACAATAAACTTGTTTTTGATAACAAAATACACCTAACTATAGAGTCCCATACAAAAATCAAAATAAACTACCTTGCATTCAATGGTTATGTGTGGCAGTCTGACTTGGTCCTTGCTACTTTGATTCACTTGTGTTTAGTCTGCATCCACCTGCATGGCTTCATCTTCCTGATTCACTTCACCTGCTGGAATGAAAATGGTGTTGAGGTATTCAACAGTTTGTTGAACCAAACCCCTGTCCACTTGTAGCACTTCAGGTAGCATGCCCAGTCTTTCCAATCTTTTCTTCCCTTTGTGTGGGGGGCTGAAATTATTCCCCCCTTGGTCCTTCAGTATCTCTTCCATACAGCATTGTAAAGTTATCCAACAACGTTTGTTCAACACTGGGTTGAACAACTCATAAGCCTCTGTTACCTTCTCTATGAGTTCCTTTAGATTTCTAGGAAATGATTGGTATTGAATTGATTGTATCACATTAAACAACCCTAAATCTAAGACATTCAAATCAGGGGATTGAGCTGGTTGATAAATGAATTGTATGTTGAAACCATTTGATTGACATGCTTCTTGAAATTCATCATCCCTAGGAATTTGGTGTGGTCTGGCATTATCCCACTGAATCCATACATCCTTAGATAGATGGTCTAGCCATTTGCTTTTAATGGCAGGAATTACTTTAGTTAAAAGCATTTCCCTTATGGCTTCCTTGTTAACATTATGTGTAGCCTTCACTTCCACTACCCCTGCTTCTCTGTTTTTGCTTTTTTTCTTTGTTGTGCTCTCATAAACAAAAGGGAAAATTCCATATTTCCCATCATGTTTCAGTCCTCCATGGTTGTCAAAGATTGGCTTCCCTATAGCTGCCATGAACATCCCTTTGATCTTGAACCTCCTGGACTATTGGCACCTGTAGGGGTTTGGTTCATTAGGCAATAGATAGAATGTTCTTGTATCTGGGTTCAAGAAGAACCACTTCTCATCTATGTGCACTACCTGCTGCATGTCAACAAAATATGGGTCCTCATTTTGAGTAGCAGGCAACAGATGCCTTAAAACCCATTTGAGTCTTGCTATTTTGTGGTTGGATGATAATGCTGGATGATTGGTGCTAGTATGTGTTCTCAGCCTGCCTTTTTTTTTTTTAATTTGTGGATGGTTGTATGTGAAATGTTAAGAGCAGCCCCATAGCTTCTCTCAGTGACCCTTTTATATAGTGGGGCAGACTGCAGAAATTCATCTGTGTATTCTGTTGGTTTTGGTCCTGTTTTGCCAAGTTTCTTGCTTCTGACATCTATGACATTCCCCACTTCCACTTGGGCTTTGATGTCTTTGAATAGTCTGAGAATAGTGGACCTGTGCACATTGAATTTCCTGGCTGTCTGTGATACAAAACCCCTTGGTATTTCCCCCCCTGTAGCTTCAGTAGATACTCATCTACAATTTCCCTTTTCTTGGAAACTGTGAGCTGTTTTCTGCTTGTTGGTTGCTGGGTTGCTTCATCATCTGGACCAGTGTTGTCCTGGTACTGAGCCCCTTCCATGCTGCTTGTCTGACTATGTTCCATGTTGCTCTCATCATTGAGTATGTGGTGAATGCTGAAAAATTCATCAGTTGAATTTTCTGCCATGTTGCCTATGCTAATTTATCTGAGTTCCCAGGATGCAGGACTGCTTATGAAGTGGGCCGATTTTGAAGCGCTGTGCTGATTTGCTGCTAATCCAGTGCTAATGATGTAGGAGTAATTAGGTTTAGGTAGAAAATGAAGTGCTAACTTTTGTGAACAATGAATGTTGTAATTTGGAAAAACATTTGAAATGTTTGTTATGAATGCTTGTACTAAGTAACAATGTCTGGCTGGTGGGTTATATACCCCCTGTTTTATTAGCCAGCAAATTCAGGTAAGAGGGAAAAAATCTGGGTGAATTTTGAAATTTTTAAAAGTTGGCACAAAATTTTTGGGGGGAAAATTTGGCCCCAAAAATTGGCAGCCTCTCTCTCCTCTTTTAAAAAAACCGGGACCCCTTCCTACACTTTTAATCACTTTGTACTTTAAGCATAACCCACTTTAAACAACCCACTAAAAGTTTTGCTTAGGCCTCCGTGAACGGTACCATTGTTGCAGATAACCGTTTACGGAGGTAGTAATTCTTATTGACTCTTAACACTTCTTGCAACAGCTCACCCTTTGACAGAAGATCAAATGTTCACATTTTCTTGAAACTCAAAACATAAAAACCCTGAATAAAGATAAATAAATAAACAAAATAAATAAATTCCAAAGCCAAAAAAATTATTGTTAATGCCTTTTTAGAATTATAAAATCACCAAATATATTCACACCTTAACTGAAGAAGATGAGAAGACCACATTTTGGACTTGAAAAAAGAATGAAACCACACTTTGATTAGTAAAGGAAGCATAAAACATTGATTTTGTTAAAGAAACTCACTTTATATGTTTTGCTCAAAATAGCATGCATCTGCTAATGTTGCTAGTAAGGTTGTGTACATTTGAACCTTCTTAGAACCTACCAGTGGTGTAGTAGTATGCACCATATGAAGATTAAC